AGTGACCTAAATCAAAGTTCTTCAATATTACAAGGTACGTTCCTACCACTGTAATTAATCGCAAGTACGTGGTTCAAATATGATGCGTTAAATCGATCCTAGATCAAAATTAGTCTAACAATTGGTATCAGAGCCACTTAACTCATCTAATTGAACCAAGGAATTGTATTCCTTCTCATCGATTAAACAGAGACGACTAAACAGGAAGTCTCTGTACGATCGATTCGTCTCGATTATCTTGAAAATCAAGATGATTAAGAAATCCACATGTCACCCAAGTGATTCTGGATTACAGTGATTCAAAATACTATCACCATAGTTAAGAATCACAATATGAAAATGGAAAATTGAAGGTCGATGTTTTGATTCACATACTGTCACAACAGTTTGATCGAAACATTCACCCTACTGTATCAAAATTTCGAACATCGATATGCTTTCTTAAAAGGGAATCAAATTCGAAATTGATACATCAATTTTGATCAAATGATTAATCATACAATCGACTGGTTGCATATACATGTAATTAATATGGAGTAAATTTGCTTCTTGATTCAGGATCACCAAGTAAAACAGATAGACAACAATTTCTATCTCACTCAGCCCATTACCCCATGAGTGTAGTCAACTTTGCACCCGTAAATGGTGTTAACTACAAGAAATGGAAGGAGGACATTGAACTCATGTTAGGGATTTTAGATTATGATCATGTCCTTAGGGAGGACCCACCAAAAGAACCAGCAAACAATGCAGCCAAGGAAATAAAACTTAAGTATCAAGAGTGGCATAAACACAATAGGATAGCCTTAATCTACATAAAGAAATGTATCACTGATGTTGTTAAGGGAGGAATTCCAGAATCAGACCTTGCTAAAGTATACCTTGCATCAATTGCTGACAAATACAAGGTTTCTGATAAGGCTGAAACAGGCTATCTAATGAACAAACTAATAAGAATGAGCTTCAATGGACAAGGCAGTATAAGAGAGTATATACTGCAAGGAATTGACACTGCTTGTAAACTTAAGGAGATGAAAATTTCCATTGATGATTCATTCCTAGTTCATCTCCTTTTGAACTCATTACYAGAACARTAYAGCCACYTRAGAAGTCTGTACAACACGCAAAAGGAGAAGTGGACTTTAGATGAACTGATCACTATTTGTGTTCAAGAAGAATCAGAAGTAAAGAATAAGGGTAAGGCAGTGAGCATTAATCACATATCCAAAGCCAAGAATAAAATAAAGAAACACTTTACTTTCAATAAGGCAAATCCCTCCACTTCTTCGGTSCAAAATGTCAAAGATRAGGGAAMATTCTTCAAAAGGAAAMGGGAACAAAAGTGTTTCTTTTGTAAGAAGGCAGGACATTTTAAGAAGGATTGTRCTGGATTCAAAGAATGGTTGAGCAAGAAAGGTAATGCCAATCACYTCTTTTCTTTAGAGACCACTAAACAYGAAATTGATAATTCCYGGTGGTTTGAYAMWRCTTCACCTATTCATATTATYAACTCAATAYAGGGATTATCAAGGATAACAATYCCAAGGCTGAATGAATCAAAGGTGTGTGCAGCAAATGGACAGSAGCTAAARGTRGAGGCTGTTGGAGAATGCAGATTATTRTTTAAGAATAATTATGTTATAACATTAAAMYATGTTTATTATATWCCTAGAATAAGAAAGAACCTAGTGTCAGGTTCTCGAATTGTAAATGAYAATAATGTTTCATTCTATGCTGATAAAGATTGTATGTTATTCTATTTGAATGATGTGTGTTTTGGAAATGCATACTTGATAGRTGGGTATTGGCACTTGAATTGCATCAATGAAAYCACAAATAGAGGATGCAAAAGAAAGATATATTGCATAAATAAAATGACARGAAGCATGAAGAAACATAAACAGAATGTCTCTTCATTCTTATGGCATAAGAGGTTAGGACACATATCAAAATCTAGAATGCAGGATCTGATAAGACAAGGGATCCTACCAGATTTGAATTTTGATGATTTTGAAACCTGCATAGACTRTTTGAAGGGWAAAATGACAAATTCTAGGAATTTTCAGTCCAAAAGAAGCCAAAGTATTCTTGAGCTGATCCATACAGACATATGTGGACCCTTTCCAGTYAAAACAATATGTGATAATAAGTRCTTTATCACATTCATTGATGATTATTCTAGATACTGCCACATATACTTGATGGYAGAAAAATCACAAGCTTTAGATTGTTTTATAAGCTTCAAAACAGAAGTTGAAAGACAAAATGAGAAGAAAATTAAAATAGTTAGATCAGATAGAGGAGGAGAGTACTTTGGTAAATATTCAGAAAAAGGACAGCATAAGGGACCTTTTGCCATATACTTGGAACAAGTAGKAATTAAGGCTGAATAYACAACTCCATACACCCCTACACAAAATGGTGTATCAGAGAGGAAGAATAGGACMTTGATGGATATRGTTAGGAGTATGTTTKCAAGGTCAAGTCTACCAAAATTCCTCTRGGGAGAAGCCTTAAAAAYARCAAACTATATTAMTAATARAACTCCAACTAAGGYTGTAAAAGGCACACCTTTTGAACTATGGAATGGATATAAGCCTAGTCTAAATCATTTTCATGTGTGGGGTTGTAAAKCAGAAACTAGAGAATACCACATTGAGAGCCTAAGCAAATTAGATTCAAGATCACTGTCTGCATTTTTTATTGGATATTCAGAGAAATCCAAAGGGTATAAATTCTTTAATCCTGGAAGAGGACAAAGAATATTTGAAACTAACAAAACAGTGTTCTATGATGAAATGTTTAATGAAGATAGTGATTTAGGATGTTGTTCTCAAGATCCATATGATCTGAATGATTGGATGACCTATGATAAAGTGGAATTTCCCTTAATCTCTGAGAGTGAAAGGCCAATATCTCAATCAATACCAATGGTGGGGAATAATACATTGAATAATACAATTGATATAAATGAGAACCAACCCACGGAAATAAGGAATGAAGCAGCACAAAATCAGGATCATGCGCCTGAAATTGAACCAGTAAGTGATCCAACACTGGAACATCAAACAGATGTTGTGCCAACCATTACAACCTTAAGAAGATCCATAAGGGAAAGAAGACCTGTCATACCTGATGATTATCATATTTACATGACAGAATTGGACATTGATTTAGAAGAAAATGATGATCCAATCAGCTTTAAGGAAGCCATGGAATCATCAAACAAGGATAATTGGATAAAGGCCATGGAAGATGAGTTGGCCAGCATGTCAAGCAATAAGGTATGGGACTTGACAAATCAGACCTAATAAAACCTATAGGCTGCAAGTGGGTGTTTAAAACTAAAAGAGATGCAAAAGGAAATATTGATAGGTATAAGGCTAGATTAGTGGCTAAAGGCTACAATCAAAGAGAGGACATAAATTATAATGAGACATTTTCACCTGTATCTACAAAGGATGCATTTAGAGTGATAATGGCCATAGTAGCCTATTTTGACATAGAATTACATTAAATGGATGTAAAGACAGCCTTTTTAAATGGAGATTTGGAAGAGGAAATCCATATGGTTCAACCAAAGGGATTTGTGTTAAATAAAGATCAAGTTTGTAGATTGAACAAATCCATCTATGGCCTAAAACAGGCTTCAAGACAATGGTATAAGAAGTTTGACACTGTGATGAACAACTTTGGTTTTGAGGAAAACAAGTTAGATGAATGCATTTACTCAAGGTTTAGTGGGAGTGACTTTATATTCCTTATACTATATGTGGATGACATATTACTAGCAACAAACAGTAAAAGAATGTTGTAATCCACTAAAGCTTTCCTCATGAAGAGTTTTGACATGAAAGATATGGGTGAAGCAAGCTATGTGTTGGGAATTGAAATAGTTAGGAATAGACAATTAAGAACCTTGGGATTCTCTCAAAAGAGTTACATTGAAAGGGTATTAAAAAGGTTTGGAATGGAAAATTGTAAAAGAGGTGAAGCCCCAATTTCAAAAGGTGATAAACTACATAAAGGACAATGTCCTACAAATATGCTGGAAAGAAATGAAATGGGTAAAATACCATATGCAAGGCTAGTTGGAAGCCTAATGTATTCTCAAGTGTGCACTAGACCAGACATAGCATTTGCAGTAAACATGCTGTCCAGATTTCAATCTAATGCAGGACATGCACAATGGGTTGCAGGAAAGAAAGTATTAAGATATTTGAAAGGAACTATGAGTTATATGCTAACTTATGAAGGATCTGATAAAGAACTAAAGGTAGAATGCTATACAGATTCATCATATAAACAGGATCATGATGATCTTAAATCTACTTCTGGTTACATCTTCATGTTGGCTGGAGGTGCAATCTCATGGAAGGCAAGTAAACAATCTTTAACTGCCACCTCTACATTTCAAGCAGAGTATATAGCAATATATGATGCAACATCCCATGCTATTTGGCTCAAAAACTTCATTAATGGACTAAAGATAATAGATTCAATACAAAAACCATTGACAGTGTATTGTGATAATGCTGCTGCTGTGTTCTTTGCTAAAAATAACAAGAGGAGCAGTGGGTCTAGGAATATAGATGTTAAATATTTTGCAGTAAGGGAAAATGTGAGAGAGAAAGAAATTGAAGTCTTGAAGATAGGAACTAAGGATCAATTGGCAGACCCCTTTACAAAGGCACTTCCTGTTGAATATTTCAAGAAGCATACTAAAGCTATGGGAATGAGAAATCTGCTCAGCTGTTGAAGGTCACTTTGACGAGACCACAAACTACAATTCATTATGAAGCATATTCGTTTAGTATGTATTTGTTTATGTACTACTTGTATATACCAGCTGTTTATATAAAATTATTACATAGATGAAATGTTAATTGTTTGAAATGTTTAAGTTGTGATTTTTAAGGATGCAGGATACAAATAAGTATGCATATGTTATTGAAATTGTATTTTGTGACCCTGGAAGTATGCTCATTTTATTTGATGTATGAACTTCCTTGATCCCTAATGCAGTTTCAATATATGCTGTTCAATAATGTGATTCTGGGATTATATAAATCAAGTGCACAATTCAGTGGATAGTTATTATCAATTGTAGTCTTGTTCAGTGGGAGATTGTAGCATATATAGATGTATATATATGCTCATCTTAATGAACAAGATCAATTTAATAATTATAATCCAAGATTTATATGAGACCATCAATTTGATATATGCATACGTATAAATGTAAAGTATTAGTCTACATACATAACCTGTTTTTTGGCGCCAAATGATGATGTATGTATGGCAGTTAATTGAGTGACAGTTATGTGGTTCTCTGATGGTAAGAACCGCTAAGCACTGTATAAATTAGGCCCTGCTGCATCAATTTCATCGATCTCTCCTAAGAACACAAATACAATCCTGTGAGTTACCAATAGCCATCAAATGGTAAGGATATAGAGAGTGTATCTTAGAAAAGCATGGGTGATGAACAAGAAAGTGACCTAAATCAAAGTTCTTCAATATTACAAGGTACGTTCCTACCACTGTAATTAATCGCAAGTACGTGGTTCAAATATGATGCGTTAAATCGGTCCTAGATCAAAATTAGTCTAACATGTAATAAATCTGCAGTCTTTGTTTTTAGGAGGCAGTCAGGAATAAACTTGTTGTATTCATGTTAGCAAAGGAGACCGGCCATCTCAAATTTGGCTTTATCAATCTAAATTGTAATCGTTTGACTGCTTAATTTTTCCGGTTACTATCAGTATGTGTGTGATATGAATAGATATTATCTATTCCTTCTGTTTCTATGTAACTTAATATATGTTGGTGGCGTTTCTTTTCCATCTAGCGCCATTATTGTTTTATTGATTAAGCCAAATTATTCCATCCAACAATCTGAGGTCATCTAAACTTATGTTTAATCTGTGATGCGATATGGGTCTGTTCCCAATTTGGTAAATGTTTACCATTCTAATACGCTAATTATTTTCTTATATTTCCAGGGTGGTTGTCTTTGTGATAGGCATATTGTACATGTCTTTGTTGTATGGTCTTTACATCCCAGACTGGGGATTTGAAGTCATGAGCGAGAACCTTTCTTTATCAGTACCAGAATATGGGAAGGAGACTCAAATTGTGAGTATTAATTTCCTCAGTACATATTTTTTTGTCATCCACATATGATGGCAGACCTTTGACTTTGAGATCACATGTTATTTGATATTTTCTAACATGCCATGTGACCATGCACAATCATATATCTACTTCTTTAGATTCAGTACCTTTCCTGTTTTTAGTAGTATTTAAGGTGGGAAGTTGGTTGGTTGTATTGTTTGGCTACTCCAATCTAGCCTCTCAACCTACTTCTATTCTTCCTCTACTTTGTCATACACACATTCAAAATTATTTCAATTAATTTACAGCAACTTAAAATGACAATCAGTGATTCCCATATCCGGTTCAGTTACAATTATGTTTCATAATTTTGATAGCCCTTGATTTTTTTTTTACCAAAAAGACCTTTCTAAAGATAAAATGCGTACTAATATACTTACTCAATAGGTACACTGTGGAGTCAGGGGTAGTCTAGAGCCCCCCTGTAATGCAGTTGGCCTGATTGATCGGCTCCTCCTTGGCGAAAGTCATCTATATAAAAATCCTGTATACAAGAGAACAAAGGTCCTCCTCTCCCCAATATCATCCATTTTGTAGAATCTTATGTTACTTTTCTTAGCGCAGCTGATTTATCCAGTGCTTAATAGGAATGTAGTGCCAATTCTCCAGATTATGGACCCCTACCACCAAATGCCCCTGCTTGGTGTCTTGCTCCATTTGATCCAGAGGGCCTGTTAAGGTTGGTTTACTTGATTCCTAGATATAATAACCGATCATCTAGTTTTATAAATTGATCCCAATGCTAGGGCAACTTCTTGTAGCTTATGTGGAAATCGTGATTATATATATATATATATATATATATATTTATAGTTACAGAGTACTTATATGCATTTGGTTTCAGTTCATTAATGGCTGCTATTACGTGTTTCTTGGGGTTGCAGTATGGACATGTTATGGTGCATTATAAGGTATGATACTTTCTATCGCTCCCAGTACATTATCCAGAAGCTGAATTTCTATGGAAAAAAGTTTTAATCAATGATGCTTTGAAGTCGTCTTCTTAATTATAGGGCCATTTGCAAAGGATTATTATATGGCTAGTGTGTTCTTCCTCTCTGCTTATCTTGGGATATGTTTTAATGGTCCTAGGTATACTCTCTTACCTTAATATCTTTTTATGTAACTTACCTTTGGACTTTTTGGAAATTACAAATTCATCCCGTATGATCGATCTCTCCCAGGTGTTCCTTTATCCAAACCATTGTACACAATAAGCTACATGTGCATCACAGAAGGAGCATCGGGAATTCTCTTGATTGCTATTTTTTACATAGTAAGTTTGCTATTTTTCCTTTTAGTGGATTAACTATTCATTGTTGAAATCATTTTGAAGATTTCTATGCTTACTTCCATCTACAATGCAGGTTGATGTGATACATATCCAAAAACCCACCATACTCTTCCAATGGATGGGAATGAATGCTCTCATTGTTTATGCTTTAGCTGCTTGTGACATTTTCCCAGCAGCTTTACAAGGTTTTTATTGGCGTACGCCTGAAAACAATCTGGTAATTTTGATCCACCTTTATTTTTCTGCTTCTTTAAACCAAACAAAACGGACACCTGAAAATAGTAGGGCCAGGGGTTTTTATTCTGTCATTTATATTGGAAAAACTTTGGCATAAAGATGTCTGCCTTGCCGTTCTTAATCTCGTAGGGTGCGTTTGATATCCAAACAGGACACAATAGCATAGAACAATACATGACAATTGTTTTGCGTTTGGTAAGACAGAACTGGACATGGCAGAACAGATAAAATACCAATTTACCCTAATGAGTTGTTTATATATTTTGATTATTTATGTAATTTATTATATTATAATAAAGTAAAATAAAATTGATAACAAAATATATCGTTAGAAAGTTTTCGTCATGACAATCAAAATGACACCAAAATAAAAAAAATTATGTAGTTTCTGATTTTTTATTTATACCTTTCTATATTTTTTTTAATTAATATTAAAAAAATTACAAAAATTAATCAAAATATAGAAACCGTATAAAAACAATATTTTGAGGACAGTAAAGTGAAAGTTTAAAGAGCATAAAATACCATAAATAAAATTTAAAGAATGAATAAAATGTAAAGAGGGAGGTGTATTTGATGTTTTAGAAGAGAATTAGATCTTATTTTGAAGTTCTATTAGTAAAATATAGGTCTATTCCATTTTGTTCGATGGTGTGGGGGTGAAACACGCATATTTCACTTTGTTCCTATTTATTCCACATAAAAGTCCTGCCAAACGTGGAACAATGATCTCTGTTTTGTTGTGTTATGAGTTATGTCATGTCCAATGTACCAAACGCACCCGTAGTGATTCTAAATCATGTTGTTGACTTCTTTCTGTAACGAAAGGAGATCCCATGATTTGGCACAATCTTCCTGGTGAAATGTCTAGTTTCAGAGTTTATACGTCATTTTGAGTGCAGGTTAATGGTACGGAGTCGCTGATTGAGGCAGCAGTCGAGTCTGAGAGGTGGGGTAAGTTGGTTTTTGTTTTTCTGGAAATATTATTCTGGGGTGTTGTAGCAGGATTCCTCCATATAAAAGGGATCTACATAAAGCTATAAATTGTAATTATCAAAAATCTTAATTATTTTTGGTTATTAACATTCCGTTTCTGAATGTTATTAGCTGCATCTTAGTAACAGTTTACCATGGAATAACATTGTAGTTGTAGAGTTTGATTGTGCTGTCTTTTGGTATAAATATCTTAGTTGTTAGCGTTTTTGGTTTTCTTTGTTATGATAAATAAAGAAAGTAGCTTAGTTTTATAAATTGATTATGGCATGAAATGATATACAATATAATGTGATTTATATGTGGGTTAAAATGTGTTGGTTATCATCATCCCTTCTTACAGGGTTAGCATCCTGTTTTAAGTACATGACCTATGGTGGCAGTTTTTTTATGTCACATATACGATTTTATTTACTTATATATTGATATTGGTATCTTTAGACCTTTGTTTTAACCATGATTTTGTGACGTATGTGTGCATCCATGACCTAGTTAAATTTGTAAAAGTATAAAAGCAGAAATTTCAAAGGGTAAAACATTAAATGTGATTTTTTTAAATAAACACCTCTTTGTATAAAACACCCCTCAAGCCGCCATTATATGATTATGAGGCATGCCTTACAAAAATGATGGGTCTTATTGTAACAATGGAGACATGTCTTCCATCATAGTGTACTTATTAGAACCCTGTTGACAATTAGCAAGTAAGGAGTTAGAGCTCGGAAGTGTGGCTACTAAGCTATTTCTTTGATGAGAAATTTCCCGATAAAGTTGCTAGTACCAAGTCTCCTCCCCCCTCCCCTCCTGCCGGTGGGGAAGGGCATAGCGCCTCGCTTCCCATTTTTTGGAAGAATCAAGTGATTTCTACCTTCTTCATCGATTTCGGGAGAAAACAATACAATAGATGCTATCTAACTAAGATTTTCACTCACTCTATGGAGTTACAGTCGGGTTTTGCAAGGCCGCTATTTTTTTAATAAAAATTATTTTACATTTTTATTATATTTAATAAATTAAAATTATTAATTTGCCTTTTAGGGTTACATTTACCGCTACTTCCTTAAGAGGTAAATCAGTTCCTACCTCTTAGTTTCTTATTGTTCCACAATCTACACTTCTCAGGAGTTTCTATGATTATTTAAGTAATTATTAGTTTTTAATTTTTATCAGATTAGTTTTCATCGTTTGTAGTATCTATTTCTTTACGTTGGTACTTTGTAATAGGCTACTAATTACTTTTTTTATAATATGATATGATAAAAAATTTAAAAAAAAAATAGACATCGAGTACCTGGTACCAAAACCGGTTCCCAAATATAAAGAACCGGTGTAACTGATGCGGGAACTGGTTCCATGAATTTTGATCGGATACCCGCTTTTGCTCACCCTAATATTTGACGGCAAATACGTTATCGAAAACTGTCCCTTGCCATTGTGTTCGTTCATTGCATGGAGGTTGTTGGCAAAGGCATACTGGTTTATAGTTCGCTCAATGTCAATGATCTGCATGAGGGTGAGGGTCACTGACTCAACGGTATTTATGCTACTTTTACCTTGGTGATCCTTCTTTCTTAGGTCATTCAAGATCACTAAAGGTTTGTCTATAGGGTTAGCTTACCTGCTTAGTTAATCTTGAGTTTCTTCAAAATTACTCGATGCTTGTTTGACTTAGTACATCTGTTCAAACTCACTTGGTTATAAAAAATATTTACTTGCATGATTTAAAAAAATATTATTTTGTATTTGTATATGGTTTAACAAAGGTTTAGAGATGGCTAAAATCCAGTCGTAGGTTAGGCCGGACCCAAATCAGTCCTGGTTCGAGATTTCTCTTTTGTAACCTGTTCCGATCCTGATTAAAAACCCCCAGTTTGTTCTCCATGTAAAACGCCTGGTCCAATCCCAGGCCAGGATGGGCCATTTTTTGCCATTTCTAAACGAACTGACTGGTAGTGGTGTTCAATGTGGGCCTGTGAAAGAAACAATCAGAACATGGCCCGAAATTAGGCCCAACAATGCTGTAGCGGGCTGGCAGCCCTAAGTTTCCAAACAGATGCCAGGTGTTCGTAAATCTTATCGATAAGATCGTGGGAAACCACTTTCTTTTACTGCAATAATCTCTCCAGTCCACTACTCCATTGTCCCCCATATATAACTTGTTTCCAAATCTTCTTTTTTGTTCCTATTCGCTTTGATTGCATACAGTATTCAGGCTCAGGGGGTTGTTTTTGAATTTAGGATTTCTGGTACGAAATTCTAGAATGAGAGTAGGAGGGGTTTCGGAGACGAACACGACATCAAATTTATCAGAATCTGAATCTGTTCATGCATCTATAATACCTTCTCCATCATCATCCACTGTAGCGTCTCCAACTGGAAAACGGAGTAGAGATCCTGAAGATGAGGTTTACGTCGATAATCTTCACTCCCATAAACGTTATCTCAGCGAGGTAAATTTTTTATTCTGTTGGATTTATAAGGTACATGATTTGGAATAACATCTAATCCTTCACCTATATTTGCAATATTTAAATCGTTTTCTCCCGTATTTTCCGTCTTTTGTGCTACATCTGAAGAAGTTTTGATAGAATTTATGGGGAAAATAGATGAATGTGACCACTCAACTTCTAGGTATCTTGGAAAAATTATCGATGGCATACTTGGAATCTCACGGCCATATCATTTACATCCTATCAGTCCGATTTTCATCCAAATTAACAAATTTAAGACAAAATCGAGGGACTTTAATTACTTAATAAGTCAAAATTGGGCAATCGGATTTGTGATGTCATACCTCAATTGGAGGAGATGATGCAGTTGATATGGTTATGCATCTGGTTGATAATCCTTTCTGTTTATTAGATGAAAGAAGTATAAAAAATTCGGTCACCAAACCAGCTATTTTGCCAGTTTCAAGCATCTTTGGTGATAAGCATTCTGATTCTTTATATTCTGTTGGAGTATATTAGTGATTTCCTGTTTTCAACCTTCTAAGGAGTCTTGGGATTGATTCGTTGATTTTGATTTAGTGGCTTCTACTGGTTTTGTTTCTCCCCATGATTTTCTCCACAGTCACACACATTTTAGAACTTTCGTAACCAAAACCACTTGTGTTCGTACCATGTAGCATATGATGTACGATTTGCAAGTCCTTTTTCATGGTCTTTATTCCTGACTCAATTTGTGGTTTACCTAATGTATTAGAATCAGGAAGCGACACTTTCAATGTTTGTTCCAAATGTTGCAAGTATCCAGATTTAAAGCCAGTATCAGCTTTATATCCTCCAACATTGACCATATTCACCGATGCATCAACAAGTTTGCTGTCTTGGATTTTTGACCAATTTCGGTACTTACGCCATTGTTCTTATCCGTTATACCTAATATTAAAGATCAAATTGTACCCTTAAATTTAATAACGATAAAGATCAAATTGTACCATTAAAATTAATAACGATAAAGATCAAATTGTACCATTACAAGCCATGGAAATGAAATTGCACTATTACAAACCATAAAAATTAAATTGTACTATTACAAACCATAAAAATTAAATTGTACTATTACAAACCATAGAAGTTAAATTGTGCTATTACAAACCATAAAAATTAAGCAGAATCATTCCAATCATTAAACATACTTTGGGCCAAATTATTTCTAAATTCAGTCCACTCGATAGAAGCACCTAAGAAAGTGATATTATTCTCATCTTGGTTTTCAGTGTCTTCGGTTTCATTCGAGCAAGATATGTTTTCAAAGGATCAATTGGCATTTCTTGTTTTATAAAATTATGAAGAAGACAACATGCCATTATGACCTTAACTTTCAGTTCAAAAGGGTGGTATGAATTATCTTTTAAAGTTCTACACCTTGCCTTCAAAATACCCAAGCATCGTTCTATAACATTTATCGCAGAAGAATTGTCTCATGTTAAAAAATTCTTTTGGCGTAGTTCGGTAGTTGATTGGTGTCCATCACGTCACTCAAATAAATGATACCTTTGACCTATGCCCCTCTCCAATTTGTATACCCACCATCTACCAAGTAATAATACGACTTTGGCACCTTCAACCCATGGGGCCTAAGAAGAGCATCTCGAAGGACTCTACTATCAGCCGCTGAATCGCTGACCCCTCCCATCCTGCCAAGACATAGATAAACTGCATATGTTGTGAACACACCCCTAACACGTTTGTGGCAATATCATTCTTTCGTGTTCTGTATCTAGGCTTGTCTTCAAGTGGCACTAGGCATTTTATGTATGTTCCATCTAAAGCCCCTAGACAATTCTAGAACCAAGAAAAAAACAGTCATGACACATATTTAATTTACTACATGAACACCAAAAGTTTTAATTATATTTACCTTGAACCATTTCCATCTTCGATCAGTAGAGTCCTCAAGAACAAGTTCGGGTTTCTTAAGTAATTGTGGGTGCAATCTATTAACCGCGTTGCAAACTCGAGTAAACAGTCTACTAATTGTTTCTTGATGAGAATCGAAATCTTTAGAGTAGCTATCGAATGAAGTAAGAACACATTGAGAGGAAGGAATTGATTTAATCGAAATCAGAAATCGAAAATTACAATCATAACTCCGGGATGAACCCTCTCTCACAATCTACTGGATTGGAGCCCAAGACAATGGAAAGCAGAAAAATAACAGAATGCGTAAAAAGGAAAACCTCCTTCCTCTTTTATTCTCTTTCTTCTAACAACCTTCAGCCACTTTTATCATTTACCTTTTTGCCCCTTCTAGAATATACGTGTAATATCCTAGGTTTGTTAATTTCATCTTTAGATAATTCCAATCCGTATCATTACTCCTCCCTTCCAACAAAGTCTTGTCCTCAAGACTTACATCAGGAAATTGACTCTTGATGGTTAACGCATCTTCCCATGTTGCCTCTTCCAATGAACTCCCCTTCCATTGAACCAGCCATTGCTCCTTGTCAGCATTGAGTTCCCTGATTGTGCGAGTAGCTAAGACAGCCACTGGAGTAATCAACTCAGTAGCGTTTAAATCTAATTCTGGAGGTAAAATGGTGTCCACAATTCCCTGAACAGCTTTCTTTAACAAGGACACGTGGAAAACCGGGTGTATCTTGGAAGTGGGAGGCAGATCGAGTTTATATGCCACTGGTCCTATCTTCGCTGTGATCTGGAATGGTCCAAAAAAACGAGCTGCCAATTTCTGATGAATCCGACTAGCCACTGAAAGTTGTCGGTAAGGTTTCAATTTCACATAAACCCATTCCCCAATAGAGAAATGAACCTCCCTTCTTTTCTTATCTGCATTTCTTTTCATGACATCTTGAGCATGTAACAGATGAACACGAATTTGTTTTACGGCTTCATCCCTGTCTTGTAATTCAACCAACACCTGTTGAACTCGTACTTCACCCGGTATGTACTACGTAACTGCTGGTGGCTTTCGACCATAAACCACCTCGAAGGGAGACTTACCAGTCGACGCATGGAAGGTGGAGTTGTACCAAAATTCAGACCAAGGAATCCACAATGACCAGGTACGAGGTTGATCAACAGCAAAACATCGAAGGTACGTTTCCAAACATCGGTTTATTACTTCCGTCTGGCCATCAGATTCGGGGTGATATGCTGAACTCATATGAAGTTCAGTATCCTGCGATCGAAACATTATGAGCAACCATGTGAAGGAAAATGGCAACTTGTTCATCAATATCCATATTCCTAGTTGCTCGTAATCCTCCTAATCTTTCAAGCATATCACATAACTTCTTGAAACACCTTTTATCCATCCTAAGTTGTGATATGCACATGGTGTCACTAATGTACGCATACCTATGCAATATTGTAGATCAATCCATATTTGAACACGGGGTCTATCCCTTCTATGTTCGGCTACTAAACAACAAACTATAATGAAAAACCAAGTAATAGCGCTCATAGCTTCTTCCAAAAACAATTGCATAATCCTTTGTTGTGAGACTAATTCGGGCCATTTCCTGTTTTCCAAAAATACGAATCTTGAATACAACTTGTTAAACCCAAAACAGATTTGTTGCTGAAAGGGTAATTCATATAGCATGAAACAGATTCGTTTAATAATTAAAGCATCAAGAATGCACTTCTATTGGTTTTAACACTTGTGGAAACGAAGTTCAGTCTTATAGATCTTAAAACACAAGGAAATGTGGGAAGATGCTTTTCCTAATAATCAGACTAGTTTAGTTTGCTTATATGGTTAATATATACTTTCTGTATGTGAATGTGCCTGAGCAGAGCTGCACAACAAAACTAGCAATTGAGGAAACAGTAATCAAACCCTCTAGTTTGAACTATATGTAAATGAGCTGCTTCTTGATGAACCCTCTAGTTTGAACTTCATTTCCTGATGGACAACAAAACTAGCAATTGGAGAAACAGCAATCGAACAAAACAGAGGGGTCTGGTCATGAAATTTATATCGTTTGTACATGTTCAAAGTCCTCAAATACTACAAACAAATTACAGTTGTAAAAAGTTATTCCATCTTATCTTCAGACAAAAGAAAGGAAAAGCATCAATACTTGTAGAAAAAATATATATTTCTCGTGACTAAATGAGTAGTGAAAGGGCCATAACATTTCCTGAACAATGTAAAGATCATAGTTCCTTTCCTATGGGCAGCTTTGTCTACAGTTTATCTATGCCAATGAAAACTTCTCCTAGTAACTTGCATTATAAAAATCAGTCCTTTTAATCTACCGTTGCAACAGCTGCATAGAAACCTCAATGTACCTCTCCCCATGAAAACTTCTCCAAAAAAATTCATGATAAAAGGCAATCATTTCAACTTTGATGACTATATAGCTGTAACATTTTAGGTGAATCCACATCATCAATGCACAGGGAGGATGTTCAGAATATATAGCAACTCCTCCAACTAATGTGGCAGTGTTATAAAACAGTGAACCAGGGTTGCGACTTGTGAGCAAAAGCGGACAGATCACTACGCTGGTTGAAAAGTAATCGAGCAACAGAAATCGAGCAAAACAGATATCGAGCAACAGTAATTGAGCAAAAGATTAGAGAGAAATTGAGCAAGGAGAAACAAAATCGAACAAGCAGAGAGATCGAGATCGAGCAGGGAGAAATCGGAAGATTAAAGAGAAATCAAACCTGTTAGCGTGTCGGTGTTCGATGGAGAAGCAACAGATCGAGCAGAAAATGGTGTCGGCTTCTTGAGGAGAAAATGGTGTCGGCTTCTTGTGAGATTAGGGTATTATGAGATGGGGTGAGGGTATATTGAGTATTATGAAAATAAGAAATTCCATTCTATTAAAATTCCATCTATTTATCAAGGCATGTTAAAATCCTCTATCCATGGAATTCATAGGAATCTGATGATTTCTTCTGTTGAAAAGAATGAACCAAACAAAGGAAATGAACTGGTCAAAGGAATTCAACATTCCAATTCCTTCATTCCGGAATCTGCTAACCAAACGCCACCTTAATCGGACACTTTGGAACTTTTTTGATTGTTGCAAAATGGCTTCTGATTGTGTGATTAACTAAAAGAATAAGGAAAGTATACATACGTACCATTTTAAACTAACTAAGATATGGGGATATTGTAGATAATGGCTTCCAGTTTGAATGGGCTATCAGTTGTAGACCCCCTTCCTGAAAACCTCATGGATTCTCCAGCAAGATCTGACAGCATGTTTTATCTAAGGTAATAATCTTGCTCTTTTACCTGTTTCTTCAACTTCTACAAACTTGAAAATGGTTATCTTCATCTGAACCTTATTGCATAATGCGTCTGTTTGTCACTGTCTTTGGACTTCAAATTCTTTTGATTAATGCTACTTTTGGTGATGGGTTGTTCTTAGTCGTGAAAACTGTGATTCCTTTGTGATCATCATGCATTTTGCTCTTTGAGTTGTGATTGCTGTTAGTTGTGTTTTGGTCCGAAAACTCACATTCTGAAGAAATATCAAAAGCAGTGATCTCCACCTGTGCTGGAGTCGAGTTTCTGTTTCTTGCTCTGCCTTCCATTCGGAGTGATTTCACTAGTTTTCGTTACGTCTTCAGTCGTGCCAGGAGAATTCATGGTGGCAGGGGTGGCGGGAGAATTTACCGCTGCGGCGGTGGCCGGTGTCTCACTGTTGTTGACGATGTTACTCCCTTCGCCAATCGGAGACGATTCGACGTTTGTTGATGAAGCCATTGTAGGAAGAAAAAAGAATTGGGGTTAGGGTTTCTGATCCCTCCGATGAGAGGAGAAAATAGCATTATTGAGGTGGTTGTACAAAATAACATTAAATAATATTTAGGGGCAATCTGGTCATTTTAACAGTTTTGTCCAGACCTGTTCTAGTCGTACCAACAACCAAACGTAGGACAAACAATTTAGTCCAGTCCTGTTCTGTCATGTACCGTCCCGTCCTGTCCCATTCAGTCTGCATACCAAATGCTACATAAAAATACAAGAGAAGTCAGAGTTTGTGTCATATATGCTTGCAGTTTGGCAATATATTGTTGAAATATTATTGGGTTTCTTTTCTTGGATGTGCATCAGATCCCAAAATATCAATAAAAGTGGGGAAATTGACAAAAGTAGCCAATCCATCAAATTCCATTCACTTTTTAGCCATGTCAGAACTCACTTCCCCGAATAGCCATAGTTTATGCAAAATCCTTACGCATTATGCATAACGATTGATTTCGGCCAAAAAAGATTTTAAAAACAAACCTTACGCAGAAACGCCTTTCTGCATAAATTTTTTGCGTGAACTTTCCACTTTCTGCATAAAGATTCAAATTTCTGCATTTTTTTCTTTCCAGAAATTAAAGTTCTGCGTTAAACTTTGGCTATTTTGGGATGAGGCTTTGAAAAGTGGCTAAAAAGTGAATTTAGTTAACGGGATCGGCTATTTTGGTCAATTTCCCATTGAAGTGAAGTGATGATATCAGAACAAAAATATAATCACAAGCTCTATCTAATGATATGGTTTTTGATTTGATTTCAGGGATGAAGTGCCGTATTCACCAATGTCTGAAGATTTGGATGAATGTAGATACTATGAGAGCAATGCATCTCAACCTGATAGCCAACCGACTAGTCCAGTTTCTCCTTACCGGTTCCAAAGACTTGCAAGCACGTTTTCGGCTGGACCATCAGCAACTGTGACAGCTTCACAGGCACGGCAACGTGGGTCTGAATCAGAAGGGCGGTTCCCATCATCCCCTAGTGACATCTGCCACTCAGCCGACTTGAGGAGGGCGGCATTGTTGCGGTCTGTGCAGATGAGGACTCACCCATCTCAGTTTGATGCATCATTCAGCCCAATGCAAGATATGAAATCTTTAGTTCAAGAGGAGATTGACCATGAGTGTTCAATGCATCATGAAAAATCTTGTAGGGTATTGAGCATGAATATGAAAGGAGACGATGATGAGGCCACTGATCATTAGTTTGTTAATCAATCCTCGTATTTTTGTAATTCTTTTCTCTTGGGTAAACAAGATCCAGACGAAGGTATTGTAGATGTTTAATCATTTGCCCTTTAGGAAGGAAACGTCATCAATTTATATATATATATATATATATATATATATATATATATATATATATATACGATTTAGTAGATGAAAAGATTAACAAAAGCACCATTTTCCAAGTTTTATGCAACCCTGGTGATCTTCAACAAGGTTCCTTCCCGTGTGCATTGTGTAACATTTTTTAGGTGTGTTTGGTACATGAGATATGAGGGAATGATATAAATTGTTGTTCTATATTTGGTGTAACATTTAGACTATGACATGACACATTGAGTGAGACAAAAATGTTTTTTTTTGTTTGTTTGTTTGATTGATTGACCTGGATATTCAACTTATTATGCGGGTGGTACGAAGTCATTGCATTTGAATCTCTGTGGGTCACAAGTGATTTTTATTCTGCTTAAAATTTGAACCAAAAAGGCTGGGACATCCAGACACTTTTAGCCTTTGGAACCCAAACTCAAACCAATGAGGCGCCATCCTCATGCTCGATAAAAATGTAACTTTTGTACCATCGAAAATGAGAAATAGACAAGGGTAGTAAATTCATAAACTATTCAAGTTAAAACCTGAAAATTATTTATAGTTTTTTCAATCTTCCACCGTATATTCGTTTATCCAGTCCCATTAATGTCGTTTGTGGTTAATTATATGTTGGATACTAAGTGGCAAAAGGCCGGTTGGTATTGGGCTAAGCTTTGAATAGTAGTTTTCGATTTTAAAAATAAACCTGAGTTTAATGTATTGATATATATATATATATATATATATATATATAATTTCATATGAATTTATTAAGATTACTTATTTAAAAAAATAAGTTATAATTTTCTATAAACACACTTATAAAAAAAAGCTTGATAAGAATCAAGGAAACGAAGAGGCTAACATAAAATTTGTTGAGATCAACAATGGTATATACATAATCAGTGCCCTTATCTTCTTATTTGTAATTTGGTGTGTATGAATCTTAGTATTTGGTTGGATTGTTTCTCAGCGTATGAAGCGCTGTCGGACAGTGAGAAAAGGCGTGTCGATATGGCGAAGAAGGTCTCAAACAACAAGCTGTTGGTGGCAGAAGGGGCGGAGGAATGGATCTTCACGACATATTCAAATCGTAAGATCAAACATCACTTTTTTTTCCTTACATTTTCTATTTGTCACATAGCATTATGCGTATGAAACTTGATTAGCAGTTTAGCACTGCATCTGTACGTTGATAGTTTGTTACTAGTATTGGTACATAATATCTGAATGACTTGTAGAAATTAGAATGGATGCCTTAACTGTTCTCGAATGATAACAACATGTATGCATCAACTATAATCCACCTCTATGTAAGACAAATCAGGCTTTGGTTAGGTTGGTGTTTTGTGGGTCTACCTTTCTCAGTAATTGGATGTGATTTAAACTATAAAGTAAAATGTGGTAGCAGGTAACAGGAACGGCCTACTTTCTGGTTGGCTTCATTGGTCTTAATATGGTCCTTGTGGGTGCAAGGGATAACAGGATTTTCCACAACTCAGAGCGTCATCAAGCTACGGATATCTTTAAATAATTTATGCAACTATTTGTTAGTGCTATTTTGATGATGCCTTCCTCCAAATACAATCACCAATTCTTTCTATTTCTATCCATACATACATAGAGCAACGTACATATTGTGAATTTGATTTTTTTTTCTTGTTTGTTTTCATCTGCTGCCATGTGGTTCTTTCAACACTATACTGGTCTATTAAAAACAAGTTGATTTTGTAAAGCTTGTAGAATTCATATGTATGTGAATATTGTAGCATGTCAAATTATTTTTGATCAAAACTGTTATTTGATTGAAATTGTTGATGAAAGTTGAAGTTTATCCCATACCCGACCCCTCACAATTAAAAAACATGTTCCTTTCATTTATGATAGCCCACTTCCAAACAAAAACCTTCCCATGTAGACATACAGATTAGTAATTAATCTATAGAGCTAGCTTTATCAATACATGACTTAATAGAGAACCAACAAAACACCTCTAACAAAGACTTGATCTTGGACTTCATTGAAACTATGATTTAAACAGTTCAATTCAAAACCTGAAGAAATTATGGTTAATTAATTGCAACATGACCTAGAACATAGTTTATAATAACATCTAGGGTGAAATGCACTAGTTAGTTTAACGTTCATAATTTCAAGACCCCCAAGATGCCATCGTACTTTTGGAAAGCTTTATGGCTGAAACGTTTTCTTTCCATGCATAGCATCTCTTGTATACCACTCAACACGTGTAACTTACTTAACTTTAAAACATTAATTATATAGAAAAGTACTTGTAAAAACGTTACATGTGTGTATTAGTTAACCTAGATGTTCTATATTGATTGCGTCATCTTCGTGGCTAACAAAAGTATCTGCAGTTTTACACGAGACTTATTTACCGACAAATATCACCATCCTTATTTATCTTATCAGGTAATATTCTCTGCCATCAAAATTGATTGTTGGTAAGTCTTTTATTCGATAACTATTTACCGAATAAGAGTCTTTTTCTTCATTTACCGTGTAAGATTATCGGTCTTACTATGCCTTTACTAGGTAAGATTCTTTCAAAGTGTTTGGTTAGAGGTATTAAACAATCATTATTTTCATTCTCTGTCATTTTCATTTCTATTCCCGTGCATGAACTGAACATCCTCCTAGTCTTTGTCATTCTTATCCAGCAAAATATGTGACATCCGGTAAACGCTTAAGTTTGATAAATGATCACTTAGAAAATAAAGAGATGAGAATGAAAATGTAATGATAATAATAAGAAATTAATAAAAAAAATAGATTAAAATAGAAAATAAAGGATTGATATTAGAATTGGCTCCAAAAAATTAGGAAAATTTGGCATGATTTGCTGTAAAATGATTAAATGGTCATAATAATTAAGTGTCGTATGACGTAAAATGAAATATAATTATTTAGTAGTTATTTAAAATAAAATTAGGTAACTGAATGGTTAAGGGAGGTTCAAGATACAAAATTATTTATAATATTTAAACTATCAAAAAACAGACTTTTTTTTATAAAATAAAATTCACGTCTTATTTAATTTAAGATAATAATTTGAATGCCAAAAAAATTTGGTATATAAAAATACAGATTCTTAGGCGGTTGCACATGTATCCAAATATCTTCTGAAATTAAAGCAAATATATAAAAAGGGTCCGAGAAAGTAGGCACCGTAGAAAGTCGTGGATGGATGCATCTACGTGACACGTCATCACATACCCCCTTGTCGTGGTTCACCTATACACACATGACGTGGCATTTACGACATGTGCCCTTATTGGAACTGGACCCCACTCCATATTCTCACACGCGCTTTCTACTCTTTATAGATAGAACTGTACACGACATCACCTCCTTCGCACATGCCCACCCTCTCTGTGCTGACTCACACACACACACACACACACACACAAAAAAAAGACTAATTTTCAAAGCTCATCCCTACACTATGTCACAACTTCACTGTTAGCCCCTTCAAGTTTTAACTTGTACATTTTTTTTCTTCGCTTATAACTCTGGTTTTTGTATAAGTTGAAATCTTATATAATTAAATTTGAAATCTTATAAGATTATAAAAATAAAACGGGACCTAAGTTCACATGTGATTTCATGTAGATAGGATTTGATTTGTTTTAGAGCAATGAGGTAGGAAAAGATGAAAACCAATACAAAATAGAAAACGAAAAGTTTAGGGATGAAAATCTAAGTTTTGGACATACCACAAGGAGGAAAACTGAAATTAAGTGAGAAAATACATTTTTTTGATTTAGCCAAAGACACAACGTTTTTTAAGACATTATCGGAGCTTTCTTTTATGAAAATAGAAATTTATAATTCTAATCAAATAAACATACGAATAGTTAGTATCTATCTTTTAACATTCAATTATTTTATCTACACTATATTATAAATCATTTCATAAAAACTTTTAAAAACCATGAAGTATTGTTTATTGATGCATATTATTTAAAATCCAAGATTACTAGTAAATTATTCATAAGTACAACTTATTAAAGTTCCATGTTTGAATTCGTGTAGCTAATTATGGATAAATATAATCAATTAGAGGATAAACATCTTATTTTAAAATTTAAAATATAATTAAGATAAATATCAAGTGTTAACAAAATAATTAATTATTATTTTTATAAAAAAATTATATTATTAAAACAAATATAAGTTATTTCATTATTGAACTTAAATTAAATTATAATAAAAAATAAATACATAAAATAAGAGTAATTTTAAATAGTTAATTTGATACTAATATCGATATATTTTTGTCAAATTTTTATGATATTTTTAAATTTGTATTTTATTCAAAATTAAAAATATTATCGTTTTTTTAAAATCACACAAGACTATATTATAATATCAACTGAGATAAATAATGAAATATTAAAATTAAGATGTATCTCACTACATTGTGCGATTGCTCTTTTAATATTCTTTAAATATAATAATAATAATCGTATTTGAAAATTATACATTATAAAATAGTTAGCTTTTTATCATGCAAACAAATTAAGTGATATGTACTTAGAAATTTATTTAATTCAAGATAAATCGTCGAAATTATTAGTACTGTTACAGAAATAACAAGATGCGAACCACCATTATAATTGTTAAACACGTAGACCAAAATTGTAGGTTACGTAGGAATTCATAAATTAAAAAAATAAATGTTGCATTAAACAGTATATAAAATAAATGAATCTTAATTAAAAGGGAAAAGTCTAAAAAAATCTAATGGACTTTAGTGTTTGGTAAGATTAAGTCTTTGGACAATTTTTTGGAACAAATAAGTCATTGGACATTCMAAAACATGTTAAATAACTCATTGGACAATTTTTTTGAACAAATAAGTTCTTGGACAATTTAAAACATGTTAAATAACTCATTGGACAACTTTTGAAACAAATAAGTTCTTAGACAATCCAAAACATGTTAAATAACTCCTTGGACTTTTCTAAAACCTGTTGAATACATTCTTATGACTTGTACAACTAGTTAAAGTAGTAAAATCATGACAAAAGTCCGAAAAAAAACACAATGAACATTCTATTTTGAACAATTAAGTCTCTAAATATTTTTTGAATAAAAAAATATTTAGATCTATAAAATTAAACAAATATAACAAAAAAGTAMTTACATTTACAAAAAAATAATTACAATTAATTTTTTTTGATAAAATATATTTTAATTAAAATTAAAATATATCATGTTAGTGATTTTTCAAACAAATTTTTTTCATTCTAATTGAGTTTA